GGAGACGGAGAAGTAGCCAGACAGCTGAGGCTCTACCTGTTAGCCGCTTTGTTGTCTGCTGCCTTTCATTCCGTATGCTGCGTGCAGCGATCTGGCATTTCCCGTGTTCTCCCTCGACTGCAACTCTTGTAGATGACGTGTTTTTTAAAGGTCTGCTGGAAGTTTCCCACAAATCACTTTTTCAATATGCTTTAAGGCAAACGGTCGTAAAACGTCTGTAGCCAGTTAAGTTTTCCTCGCAGGGCAATTCCACTCCACAAAAGATTAAAGACCGTTACTCTGGCAAAAAGTTGAACATAAAGTTAATGACTTTTATGAGCTTTCAGTTTGGGATTCTACCTCATAAACTGGGGGGGTGAGAAAAACTGATTCTCATTTACAACAAAAAACACCAGCACCTTTAAAGCTCGCTGGTTACCACATCACAGTAATCACAACAGGTGTAGATTTAGATTTATTTAGAGTATTAGAGCAACCTCTTTCCCTCTTACTCAATTCTTTATGCTATGCTAAGCTAACCGGAATATGAGGGTGCTCAGCAAGAAAGCAAAGATTTTTCCAAGATGTCAACCTGTTGCGTGATGCAGCTCCGAGGTTTTTTAAAATAACGAATGCTGTGCTTACGCCAATGTGACTCAAGGTCAACCTGCTGTCTTATTATTATTTCAACATGATGGACGAAGTTCTCTCGCACGGCCGGTGCCTTGGTTATGCCTTATTAATATGTTATTGGGAATAATAATATAGTAAGGGCAAAGGTCCAAGCTCAAGTTTCAACGTGCAGCTGATTTGTAGCTTTGCATGTAACCGATACCTTGTGTTGCAAGCCGCCGGAAATGATGAAGGATGATGGAAATAAGATTCCCATCGCCGGTGTAGCGTAGATGAAACCAAGGAGATTTGGTCAGCTATTAATGGGAGCTAATTTCTGCAGTTCTGAGGCCGCTGATAATGACGAGCAGAGGGTGAAACAGGAGGGGAAACGAATGCTGAGCCAAAGAAATGCTTCTGATGTGATTTCAGCACACCTGAGACTCGCGGATTGATAGTAAACATGAAACAGAGCAAATGGATTTCATTACAGCGTAATTGTACTGCTCTTTTCATTGCTTTGCAAAGACCACATTCTTCCAAAGTGCGCTTTGATGATGATGGATATCTTATTGAAACCATTCATCTTCCACACGAAACGCTTCAAAGTGCACCTGGGATTTGAACGGAGTGTCCCGGTAACATTTGTAGCTCGTCTATGTTCATCATTTCTTGACCTGGGGAATGTTGATTGGGGAATTCTAACAAATTGTGTAAAAATGTTGTTGAACGTATACGAATCTGTGAGCTGCTTTACTGCATTGCATATTATGCTCTAGAGCAGTGGTCCGGTGGACCGGTTTCATGTCAGACAATATTTCGCGGACCGATCGAGAAGGTCCGAGAGGGGGGGGGGGGGGGGGGGGGGGGGGGGGGGGGGGGGGGGGCGGAACGACCAACGGGGGCGGGGGAACGATCGACGGGGGGGGGGGCTAGTAGTTGTGCGCTCTGTGTTGGCTGGTCGGCGAAACTGCCGTGCACGGTAAAAGGACAAGAAAAACGCCTGGTGACGCGTGGGGAATATGTCAGAGGGACGAGCGCACATAATTAGGAGAAAATCCGGTCAATTTTCAAAATAAAATATTTTTCAGAAAAAAAATATATATAAGCTTTCTGTGGTGCGGCCCGGTACCAAACGGCTACAATAAATAAATGAAGTTTTTTAATTTTAAATTTTTTAAAGTTTGAAATTAATATAAAAATATTTATGATGCGGCACATTAGTTATGTGAAACATCAATTGATGGAGCACAAACAATTTAAACGAACAGATTAATAAAACAATAAGGCTCTCGCTTGAAACGGCTGCTCTTGTCCGCCTGTCGTTGATCAACAAATGGGGCGCCCTCTTGTAGCATTAAAGCCAATATACCGCATTTTCTTGGTTCGATTTGCTGATATGTACATGGCAGCTTGTGCCTTCTCTATTATAACCAAAAGAGCAGGATTGTCTATATACCTTGAGAAAATATCTTTAAAAGAAATCTACATGAATTGGTGTGTTCTGCACTCACATGAATACAATTCTGGAAAAATGGCCAATGTACTGCTTGTCAGGGAAGGAGAGCGAGGGAGAGGAGGAGAGCGGGGTGATCAATTTCCTCCAAGGGACGGGGGATTTTGCTGTTATCTACTAATCTTCAATTACTCAATATCCAGAACAATTTTGGCCTCAATCAACTGATCCAGCGAAGCACAGTCACGAGTTAAGCGCGAACAGATGAGAGCCTTCGGGGCAAATGTTGCCAACTCTTCGTCACACACCGCGGTGGCACCGGTGCGTGCGCGGGTGTGTGCTTCATATTGAGGTTGAAGTTGCTCGGGTTATTCATGAAAACGTATCAACAAGCAGTTTGAGGGAAAGCAGCCACACCGCTGTGCTGACGACTACAAACGTCAGTGGGACCTGTTTTCTCTCACCGCCTCAGTCCGGTCTCACAACACAAACTGTTCCCAGTGCAGCCTGGATTGTTTTTTAAACACGGCCAAAACAAAGCAACAACAGGTCCCATTCAGCGAATTTCTGGTGGCGACGTTAGAGGAAATCTATTTCCTTTCTCTGGAGCCCGGTGCAGGCGTTTGGGAAAATACAAATGGGCACATAATGAAGACCGTAATGGCTTGAATGATGAGAGGCCTCAGTGAATGGAGAGGGAGAGTTAATCGAGTTCTAGTGGCGGCGATACGCAGAGAGTCTCTGTACTAGTTTCATGATGATAAAACGCACACCGAAATGGACTCATTGTGTATTTATCCTACTGTTTTTACCAAACAAATGTCATGGTTGACAGTTTTCATGAATTTGTTGCATCAAAATAAGTCTTTCATTGAGGGGCAGCGCCATATGAAGAAGAAAAGTAAGAATAACAAGTGAATGCAGCAATTGGAATTGATATTCCTCCTGCACCATCAAAGAATAATTTTCCTGGATATGTTTTAATCTTTAATATTTAATAGAAAATAGACTCTGGGGTTGTAATGAATCTGCAATAAAAAAAGTATCTCAAAGATTTAGATGAGAATGAATCCAACTGCGGCTTTGGTAAAGAGAAAAAGGTTGAAGTTGACTCAATGGGTGAAGACTGCCCTCTCAGGGTTCCCTGTGTCAATTGCAGTTGACATGTGTTGAGTATCAGCCGCCTGGCCGGAGAATCGCCAGCATGCGCATGCTGAATCACATGTGACTCACCAGAAATATGTGATAGATGTTAGATATTACATCCAAAACAGATGTATAAACCCAGCTTATGAATGAATAAGAGCTCCTCAAAGCAACTCGAGGTCCACTTACTAGATTTACTCTGTAACTTTTTTGTAGCATCTTGTTGCATCTCATGGCCTTTATCAGGAGATTGGGTATCCATATGACCTTCAGAGTGAAGAAGAATGTATGAATGAATAGATATTTATTTCATAAACATAATAAGTGATTGTAGCTTATATAAACACACATGATTTATAAATATAATGATTACATAATTTGTTGACATAAAACACATAATTCTTACACAAGGTTACACAAACCTCACCCGAGGAGTGATAGTTTACAAATATGTGATTATATGGTCCTGATATCAAATATCTTTAAATTACATTCATATAATAACCACTAAGCAATATTATATACTGGGGGTTTAAATAATAGTGTTACCCATCTTCGTCAAAACAAAAAGGTAATTTTAGAATCTCTTTGCAGTTTATTATCTGATTTAGGGTTTGCACATTATAGTGAAAAACAATAATGTGTGAATAAATCAATCGATTATCTCTCTCTCTCTATATATATATATATACTTAACACCCCATTATAGTGTGATATAAAACATGTATTAGGTATTTGCAGTTGATAAATGCTGAAGAGGGGGGGGTGAACATTATAGCGTTACCCGTATTTTGTGAACCTAAAGGGAAAGTGAAGCTTGAAAGCATTATTGTGCTTAGAAATGACAGGTGGAGGAAGAATCAAGTAGTTAAAAACAAATCTGGTGCTTTGCCAGCTGATACTCTTGTATCTGTTTCCAGGCGGATATACAGTGAACAGGTTGAGGCTGAAGTGGGTTCCGTCTTTAATACTTTTAATATCCTCTCGGCTCTCTGCAGGCCCCTCTTCTTCCCAATATCACTGATGCTATATATTAATGACGTTCTGCGCGGTTTGAATCAGTTTCTGCAGAGTCCAAAATGTAGAAAGGTGTGGGTCTTTTCCTCCTTTTTTTAAAACTCAACAATCAACATAATAAACGATCTGCCTTATAACTGAACAAAATGTTCTCTGTGGATGAAAGCTCCAGAAAATGTCCAATGAGGACCTTGTCAGAAGTTTCTTTAGTAAAAGTAGTTCTCTTTTGATTTTTGAAATCTTAGCCCAATTAATTACATCTATATCAGATGTGGACTTCAATACTCCATTATGGATCTAGCCAGTACCAATTACTTTAATCTATGTGTATCATATCACGTAAACTGGTTATGCTTTGTATGTAAAAGCATAGACTAGACGTAGCATTCAATTATAAAATTCTGAATATCATAGAATCTATGATATTCAGAATTTTATAATTGAATGATTTTGAAGCCTTTGAGTATATCTGTCATAGATATACTCAAAGGCTTCAAAATTGTAAATACAAAACTTAAAAGAATAGTATGAATGAGTCACTCAGTATAAACTAAGAGATAATAGATAATAAGATAATATCTTATAAGATAGGATAAAGTCCAAACTTCATCTGAGTGTAAAAAGCAATAAACGCATACAATTAAAAAAGAAAATGCGTTGGTGTTATCATTTATATGATGTTTTTCTTTTTCTTTTTATCGCACCAGGTAACACTGCTGTGACAGCAACTTCCGCACTGTGATTCGATTGGTTAAAAACTTCGCCAAAGCTCCGCCCCTTTCGGCCGTGGTGTGAGTGAGCGGCGGCCCGGGCACAGAGGGCCTTGTTGTGGTTCGGTGACCGACATCACACTGCAGGTCACGCAGGGAGCAGAGGAGCGACAACAGGCTGCCAGCGAGGTCAGTGGAGAACTTTAACCGCTCTGTTTTGAATATAATGTCAACTCCGAAAGAACGTCACGTTAAGTTAACTAAAACTGACCAAAGTTAGCTAAACCAACCTAACGTTCACTTAACGTAAACTTTTTTTAAAGTTGACCATTAACGTCGAGGAGGGTATTTACCCGGAAGTCGTGATAAATAAGGAGGAACCGACGAAAAGAGCGTCGCTGTGTGCCGAAGTACCTGGAAAGTCCTTGTTTCTCATCTGGGGTAAAGTTCATCGACCAACAACGTTAACTGAAATTAACGGCCGGGCGGCACCGCGCGTGCTATTGAGAGGACACGATGCTGTGTTCATAAGCGGCGAAAAGGGTTGGAAATCATACACTCGGCAGAACACACAGTGTAACGTTATGTTTGTACGGGAACTGAGCGTTTAGCCGTGCATCGTATTTCGTCTCCAGCCTTTTTCAGGCTGGAAATTATACCAGTTCATGCCAACAGAGAACCTTCGGTATGTGTAGCCTGTGCTTAGTATATCATTTGTATTGTTTTAGACTGTTACCTCTGCCAGACAGCAAGTGACCTGTGAGCTTTTATTTTTCTTCTCGGTGTTATTTTAGGGATTTTAAGAGGCCTTAACGTTAATGACAATTTCTTCTTTCCTGTAATCACGTTATCGCCCCCTGGAGGGTCTTCACACCTGAACCTCGGGGTCTGCTCTCACTACTTTTTCAGACAATGCAAATGGATGTCATAGATCTGTTTTTCTACAATATTTCATCAAGTTTAAATGTATATTACACAAGAACCCAGCTCTTCCTGTCCTTATATCTAAATTCTCACTTCGTCGGATCAGGGGCCGCTACAGCGTCTTGGATCGAGAACAGCTGGAGACCCCTTTGACCCACTGACCAAAGCTGAGCTTTTCTTTTTGCGTCAGCTGCAACACTGTTGTCCATGGCCAGTGTCTCAATATTTTATTGGAGATAAACCAGCCTCTAATAATATCAAAGGTCACATAATTTTTCAGCTCCGACGGGAGCGTGGAAGTTTCCTTTTTCCCTGAAGGGGATGATGTGTCTTAACATAGTGAGGATGTGACAAACTGACTTGTAACCCAATAGGAATTTTATGTGTTGCTTATCAGTGGGATAATTATTTCCAAAAGTCTAAAATGCCTTCGTTTGTGTTGCCTTCGGCATATTATGTGTGGTGTTGCTGAGAGTTATCCCAGGTTCATCTCTCACTTGATAGCAGGGAGACTTTGATTTGTAATAAAGCCAATGAAGATGTCATCAACTGCCTCTTGAAAAAATATGTTGCTCAACCATGATGTTGCAACAAAACGCAATTCGAACAGTTCGTCGGAAACACCATTGATGAAAATATCCAGCTGCACTCAACACGCTCCCACGGGTATGATCACATACGGTAACCATGTCTCTCTTTGATCCGTCTGCCCTCTGCACCCAGTCAACAATGGCGAGGAACCAGTGTTTCAGTAAAATAATACAGGCCGAGTCCACTAAAGTCTCCCAGGGCCAACTGGCAGCACATGTGGATGAGTAATGGCGTGTCGGAAAATGAAAAGCCATAATTTCTTTTTTTATAATTTCTCTCAACCCAAGGCAACGTCTTTTACAGGTTTTTTTCTGCCAACGATCTGAAAGCCAGAGATATATGAAGTTGCTGTTGCCTCAGACAAAGAAAAGTAGCAAAGCCTGCACAAAGCTCAGACCAGAGAATAATTGGTGTTCTTTCCCAGAAATTGCTTCAACAATTAATTGATAATCAAAATAATTGCATGTGAGAAAAAAAGTTTATTCAATCGTCTTTAGGATTTAATTGATGTTTCCACTCTACTGAAGATGTTTAAAATAATTGGAGAGTTCCCTCTGCCTTTGGGGCATTTTCTCTATATTTTTGATAATTTTTTAATTAAATTAAATGATCCAGAAATGATCTATAGTTAAATAAATTGATAAAAAAAAAACATTCTTGCTGCAGTCTTAAAATGATAGGTTTTATTAATATCACCCACTCCTACAAAAGAGACAGTCATTCATGTCCCCCTTTTTCTGTTCATTATTTCAACCTTTTCTGACCCATTTAGTGTTGGATTTAGTTTCTATTTAAAGCAATAACTCTTTACGTAATGGAATAGGGTAGCAATAATTCACTTGAGTAATTCTTTTGGCCTGGTTTTGACTTAAAGCTATATTTTACAATTGTAGAGTCAGTATTTCTCAATATCTCCCTTCAGAATTTTCTCTGGATGTAAATGATATCGAGGTCCCTTTTTCCTGCAGGCCTTCGTGTGAGCAATCAATCTCCAGCGACCGTGGCCGGCTGCTTTACCGGCAGCCATTATTCATGGGTTTCCTCTCAACTAATCCATAGTTTTCAATCGGACTAACTTCCTCATATCAGGGGTGTACTCCTGTTTTGTGGACAAAATCGACAAGCTTGGGAAACCTTTTATTGCTTCCGGGTACACGTACTGAGAGGTGGAATATGGAGCTGTACAAAAGCTCCCATCAAGACCTAGTTTTTCACGCACACGTGATGACGGAACTGTAGGTTCTTACTTTCAAGTCAGAAAATGATCTAAATTTAGATCTACCGAACATTGAACTCATTACTCCATATTTACAAAAGCAAGATTTTACCCTTTCGTCAGCCCCTGATTAGGAAAACAAGAGAAAAGTGTAACTCAAAAATGAATCATCATTCACTATTTTACTTTTAACTTTGACATAAACTTGACTGCAGCGTTTCGTCCTCATTGCATCATAGGGTGACAAATGAATTTAACATGGTTGAGTTGAGTTTGCGCCCACGTTCTTAAACCCTCTGACAGGACAGCGATTTCATTTCCGACTTCATAACACAATTCTTTCAGGATAACCACCTAAACAAAGAATACCCGGGATGTATTTCATCATGCATACCAAGCTATCTCTATTTTTGACACGCTATATTCCCTGTCATAGATTGACTCCAGCAGTCACAATGGCAGACAGCGGGAAGACTAATGAGACTGGAGCTGCAGCAGCAGAACCAGCTAATGGAGATCAGCAGGTGAGGAGAACCTACACCCAGAATTACAAGTATTACAAAACCCAGGCACACTGTGTGGGGAATCGAGCATTATCCTGCACCGAGGACTTATACTCTGTATGAAAAGGGATCATATTCCCATTCATGTCCTTTTCAGTGGCAGTAATGGTTGTTGTTCTTTGTCCTAGAGCGTTGTTTCCCGAGTGAGCCATTTGCCTCTGGTCAGTTCAGCTTGCGGGGTGGTTTCCAGCGCCTACAGCAGCACCAAAGACAGTGTGCCCTTGCTGAAGGGAGTGATGGATGCGGCAGAAAGTGGTGTGCGAACCCTGGGAGCAGTGGCCACCACGGGGTCAAAGCCGCTTTTGGACATTATTGAACCCCAGCGTGAGTTCTGCTCTCTGTGTGAAATGTGATGGAATGTTTTTGCAATGATGGCTGGACTATTCAGTGAGTATCGCAAGCTGGTTCCACATTAAAGGTGTCTAAAGAATGTTTGGTCCACTTGGTACATCTAGGATTGCGTACAATGGGAATAGAAGTATCATTCTTCCTCTTAGAACATAAATTACTGATTTGTTTACCCGAAGTGTCACTTTAAACTTTAATAACCATTTGAATTATTTCTCTGCTGTAAATATGAAACAATTATTGTTTTGTGGTACATGACATGACTTCCCACAAATCACGTTATCCTTTGAGTTTGAAGGAATTACATATTATTCTGCATGAATTGTCATTAGTGAATTTCCTTTGCGTTCTTGTTTCAGTCGCTACAGTGAATGAGTACGCCCTGAAAGGACTGGATAAGATGGAAGAGAAGCTGCCAATTCTTCACAAGCCAGCAGACAAGGTCAGAGAGAAACACCTTTTCACCGTGCATTTTGGAACTTATTCATTATAATGTTCCTACCGCAGTCAATCGATTAAAAAGAAGGTTCTGAATCGATTTAAAAGCCGTTTGACATTTTTTGCATTCACACTGACTAGTTAGAATTGTCTTGGTGTTCAGTGTCAACGGGGGGCTACGCTCATAAATTCCCTGTGATGGTGTCCGTAACATGTAATCATTTTTAACGTATAATTATTATTTTCATTTTCATTGAGAGCCCTTAAGGTTAACTGTTAGTCACACTCGGACATTTTACAGAGGGACTGTAGACACTTCTACAGTCATTAACTAAGCTTCTAAATGTATTAAAGCACGGTCACACAGGCGCCAAATTAACATTCACCTCCGCAATAAAACATTCTCTTTTAGTGGCTGAAACAAAGTTGCATCTTCACATTTACGTTGAGTAACCATAGCAACAGAATATTTATACCAGTTACTGTTGCCGCTTGGTAATGAACAACCACGCCGCGGGTATAAGTCGGATAAAACACTCGGGGGGGTATCAGAGCTATGTGGAAAATCCATAAATGGCTCTCCAAGTGTGACTCCCAATCTGCTGGCTCTCCCGCAGGTGGTGTCGGACACAGTGGGCATGGTGTATCAGTCGGTGGCTGGGGCCAAAGACGCAGTGATGGGGGCTGTGATGGGTGGTGTGGAGCTGACCCGGGCAGCGGTCAGCGGAGGCATCACCACCGCCATGGGCACCCGGATGGGCCAGATGGTCAGCAGTGGGATGGGCATGGCCCTGAGCCGGTCCGAGCACTGGGTTGACCAGAACCTGCCGCTCACTGAGAAGGAGCTCGGTCAGTAGCGATGTTGAATGTTCAATGCATAATCAGTTCATTAAAAACACACAAACAATGGGAGGGATAAACCCAGCGCTGGTACAGATCAGGTGCTTCGACTGTTAAGCCGGCACGGGGCTGCAGTTAGTTAATTAAGGGACAACAAACGGCCAGTTTTTTTTAATCAAAGATAATATTGAACTATGAATGACCTAATTTAGTGCTTCAAGACTCCGTCAATAAGCGTTCCTTTTTTTCTGCAAATGCTTCATAAATTATGATGATGGAAAAGAACTTTAATAGTAAGAAAGCACTTTTAAAGTTGATTGTGTGTCTTTTAAAATGTTGGTGATTCTTTGACATTTCAATTACAGATTATGGCTGTTTATATATATATATATATATATATGTTTCATGAAAACCTGTGCGATTACTTACTACTACACAACCTTCATGTCGCATCTGGCCCGCTTTTGTTTTTACTTTTGCATACTTTTGATACACATTGGTGTATGAGAAAGTGAAGCTACTTTCAAGTATTTATTAGTAAGGCTTCAGACTTGCTTTTAAGTGGAACATTTTTAAATGCTAGCTCAACGATTAGCTTTTACCTCCCTTACAGGGCTCCAAGTTCAATTTCATACATTATAAATTGTAGCTGGTATATCTGCCATTTGCTCAAATGTAATTTATTCCATAATTAATATCTGTGAATGGCTGCATTTGCACGATTTGCCATTTACCGTGAGGGTCGGTAGCCGACACTGTGTCCGTGCTTCACTGTTCTATTGATCAAAGAGCAAATCCGATGAGACCATCCAAAATGATTAACATGATGTGTGATAAAAGTGTTTAATTCCTCCCCTGTGACTGGATCTGACACACATGAATGGTTGATTCTATTCATAGAGAGGGAGGCAGGACGTTGCAGTGAACTTCCCCTCTGTTAGCTTGGCCCATAAAGCCCTGACAATTTCCAACACTCACGGCTTTGACACCTGCTACTATGATGTCATAACAACCTGCCATACCCCAACATAGAGGCGATCCACCTCTCCTCTTCTTCTTCTTCTGAGTATGGATATGACAATGATGCAAGGCCAACGGCCTCCAGTGGTACTCTGGGGAGTTTGGATTTGTTCAGTGGTTTACTGTGGCTCTTTCTGCGTATCACTCAGCTTCCACCGACGGGTGGTTCGGGGGTGTTAGGTGGCTCTCCAGTCTTTCGGTGTCGCTTGAGCAAATGCGCTTCAACCCGGTCAGAGTCAAGTAGCCCGACTCTGAACAGATGCCCCAGTTAGCGGGGCGTGGGAGGGAGCCCATTGAGCCGCCATCCACTCCTCAAAGCATGTCAGTCGCTTATATCACTCTAAGCATGAGATGTATCGTGATTACTGAATATCATTTTCATAAAAACTGTCATAGTGTAGAACACAACATAATATGCTTTAATTTTATGGAATCATGACCGGGGGATATCCATTTGCATTAATAGCTGTAATATCCAGCATCATTGCACTACTGCTATTATTTATTGTGTTTTGAAGAATCAGTGTCACAAACTCGATACTGCACTATTGGATATTATACAGTATAGCACTAAAACCTACATATTTAATACATTTTTTATCCAACATCTCTTTATTATACATACAGCACCAGGCTGGTACAGTTTGACTGCTACTGTATGAGATCAATGCTATTCTCTCTCAGCTGCTGTGGCTGAACCGGTCAGCAGTGAGGTGACTGCCGCATCGAGCCCCAGCTACTTCGTCCGCCTGGGGAAACTCTCCGCCAAAGTCCAGGAGCGAGCCCTGCAGCAGTCCCTGGCCCGTGCCGACCTGGCCAGAGACGCCACCTACACTACAGTGGCTCAGATCACCAGTACTCTGGACCTGCTGGAGATGGCCCGCACCGGTCTGGGCACCGCCGGTAACCAGATAGGAGGAGCCTCCGAGCAGCTGCTGCAGCGCTGGAAAGAGTGGAAGCAGAAGCAGGCTGGAGCTGGACAGGCCGAGTCCGAGACGGATGGGACCAGAGATGAGGCTGAGGTCAGGGCTGAAGCATTAGGGGAATTGTCTTCATGGCTTCTAACCGGGTTATGTTTGCATCTGACAGCCTTTAGAGTGTATACTTTACTGTTACATAGGCAGCGTGTACGCTCCAAAGTAACTCGGAATGCCACTTGAGCACAAAAGAACACTTAAGAGCATGAAGTCATGAGAACAAATCAATAAATCAGAGGCGGGCCAAGTGTTGTAATGCCCCGACACATCTATGTGTCATAGAAGTGATTCTACATCAATCTGTCTCATCAACAGGACGGGAATGGGATTACCTCGGCCTAAAGAATTGGGAGGAATGTATATCTTACAGCTTTATTATTTAAAATGTGAATCGCTCATCAGTTTTTTTTACTTCCGCTCACAGCAGCTGGAGTGGCGTGTCCTCTCCATGGTGCACGGGCTGAGTGACCAGCTGAAATCGGCATGCTCCAACGTGGTGTCAAGTGCTCAGGGTCTGCCAGGTGCAGTCCAGGACCAGCTCACGAGCGCAAGGCGATCAGCTGAAGAATTGCACTCCTCTCTGGGGACCACCAGCACCATCACGCCCCACCTTCTGGAACGGAGCCGCCACCACCTGAGCCAGGTACCTGAACGATCGCACCCCGTCTTTACACCACTGTTTTATTTTGCTGTGTCAGCTTAGCTAAAGATTGTGACGTTTCTTTTTCTTTTCCAGTGCAATTACTTTTTACAATTAGTCTTTCCATTACCTTCTTAAAATGCCACCTGAATAATAAACAGTCTTGGACTGGGAACTGGAATTAAACAGGAAACTCTGGCATACTTCACATAAACAAACATCCACTAGGGGCGTCTGCTCATTCATATGCATTTATGAAACTAGGACAGCTAAGCTTATATTAAGTTATGTACACGTATAACCTAAGTATTTACTGCCCACGGTGAGGATAGCACGTTTCTAAGGAAACCTTTTGATTAGGGGTCGGTGATGTTGTTCCAGATACCAGTCTGTGCTTGTTCCCAGGTTCAGCGGTCTCTGGACGGTGTCATGGAGTATCTACTGAACAACACACCGCTCAACTGGCTGGTGGGACCGTTTGCCCCCCAGATCGCCGAGAGGGTGGAGGAAGATGGATCGATGGAGCAGAGCGGACCAGGCAACTAGACCTGCAAGACTCTCTTGTGTTTTCTCCATGGAGGGAGGAGCGGGGGGGGGGGGGCCAGCAGACTGGTGTACACTGGACCTGGACCTTTTGAGAAAGAAAAGAAAAATCTGCTTGCTTTAATGAAATATTTATAATGCACAAAATATCATTTAATAACTCAACATTTGTGATGGTTGACTGAAAGCTCTGACGTGGCCATAGAGGTTTTGTATATCCGTGCACTTTATTCTACATCAAAAAAGTATTTTAAGAATGTTGATCAACTACACGTGTGCTCAAAACTTCTGTTGGTGCCTAAAAAGAAAAGAAGTCCAAGCATTGACCTAAACCAATGCTCAAAATCTCCTTTTGTGTGAATAAAAATGGAAAGCAAGTACTGTTGGTGGAGAGCTAACGGTTTATTTCAGACTGGCCGTTTTAATTCCAATATTTTGTGTCTGCACCTTTTTGTGGGCTTCTGGCAGCGGTTTAATAAACTGTCGATGGAGCTGTGACACAGCACAGCATTGATGTACTGGTTCCGAATGCATTGATTAAAGCGTTATCACTCAGTGGTTGTAGTTGTGGTGTTTGGTCGTGTTTTGGGGGGCTCTTTGGTTGGTCGGTGGACTTTGCCATGTCGGCCCGACCGACTGAAGGCTGAATCGATGCTGGGCATGACGTCATGGTAGTTGTTCCGAATGTCGGGAGCTAGCGCTGGGTGAGAGGCCGCACGCTCCGCTGGGGGACACAACTCGTACAAATCTGAAGCCCAAGGTCGTCGGCCGTGCCCCCCGTCCCCCCCGGTAACTCCAAACCCAGGTACCGTCTCCCTCCCGGACCGCCGCGAGACACCGCCGCCGTGCGTAACCGACCTTAAACCGGCGAGGACACGATCAGGCGGCGCGCTGCCCGGTTTAAGCTAGCACGGCGGGCTAACGCTAGCCTGCTAACACTAGCGTTCACTCGATTTAAAACAACACTTGTTTACACTCCGTCGCTACGGACGCTGTACTGTTTCATTGTTATTGATTGCCATCGCTATTGGAAGCCACCCAGCGAGTTTTGTCCTTCTCTTTTGATTTGTTTGTTTGTGTTATCCCAGTCGAAGGGACACAAAAAGCGTCCAGCGGGGCTGTTTGCTAACGGTACGGTTCGCTTCCAGCTTCGCCAGCACAGGACTTCGATTGTTTCCTGGCGACACTCAGCTGGAAGTTTGTCCAGCTGCGCTGGAAGCAACTCACGGGCGCGATCGGGGACCGGTCGACGGTCCCGCTGACGCTATTCGTGCGCCGGCACGTCCGCGTAGCTTTTTGTTTTCTGTCGACCTGCGTTAACTTTTGTGCCGATCGAAACGTCTTTCTGGTGCGGCGCGAGAGCGCAGAACCCGGCTGAGCTCGCTCGGGCGTTTTTTCGCAGATCAGTAACTTTCTAACGTGCCTCTTTGTACCCCTTTGTTTTCACTCACGTGCACGGCTCTCCCACCTGGTTTGTGTGACAATTCCACAGTGTGCTACTTTCAAAACTCCTGACCTATTGGCCCATTGTTGCAGGAGCAGCTTTACATTGACCCGTGTGTATAGTGTGTATCTGCTCTTACCTGCCCATAATGTATGCGATCGATTTGATCGTTTGACTTACACACTTACTACTGAAGTCCATGTCCTGCTCTGCTTCAATGGCAGAACCAAGATGGTTTTGGTTGGTTTAAAGTGTGACCCCGGAGCCCACAGAGTCGCCCACGTTTCATCCACTCTCGAGCTTCAATGCCGGTCTGCAAACTCCAATCAATACACGTCATTGAATCTAACTTCTCCCACCCCATTTTCCAGGAATCTCCTCTCCCATTCCCTCCCCCCCCCTCCCCCAAGCCCCCCCTACCTGCTCTGTCGGAGCATGGCTCAGGAGACCAACCAGACGCAGGTGCCAATGCTTTGCACAATGGGATGCGGTTTCTATGGTAACCCCCGCAACAACGGCATGTGTTCGGTCTGCTACAAGGAACACCTGCAGAGACAACAGGGAGGGGGGCGATCCAGCCCCCCAGACGAGAAAGGTATGGGGATGGCAGGGACAGGTTGTCTGTGGCGACACCGTGGCATCACGAAGTAGGAGAGTGACGCCACCGAATGTTTATTCCTCTTTAACTCAAAACGCATCGGTTAAACCCAGGCGGCGACTTTCATGTGTTAAGATTGGCTGACTCATAAATAAAACCGAAACAAATTCCTGTTCAAGGCCAAAACAACAGGTTTTGTGCTCTTTGACCTTCCTCTCACACAGCGGCTGCATCCCCAGCAGGTTCGCCGGGGTCGTCTGGCGTGACTGTGGAGAGCACGGCCTCAGAGCCCAGTGCGCAAGTGGCAGGAACCCCCCCGGAGGAGCAGACGGCCAGGTATATAGAGACAGACCAGTGGAAGGAGTCCTCGAATATATTGTTCTCATGGGATTAGTTGTATCTCATTGTAAGCGAGTCAAAGTAAAAAACCCGTGTTCATCGTGAAGGCAGATTAAGACCACTTAAGTCATTTGAATTATTATCACTGATAATAAAACCGTTTTTGTGTAGCATTTATAGGTACCATTGTGTAAGAGATCTAGTCATTTTATCCAGTGGGGGATGACTAGTTGTGTGGCAGCGACCAGAGCTTCCTTTGTATTGATGTTTTTGGAGGGTTTGAAGTGTAACCGCCTTTTTTTCCTAATCGTCAATACAAGCGAAACGGTCACTTTCTTGTTTAAAGTTGACACCGAAACAAAGTACACCTGCTTGGGGGCCTGTTCTTAAGACCGTTGCGTAATGTTGAACAATTGTTGCGGGTTAGGCTTATTGTTGAGGAATTAAGCATTTTGGAAGGGCTCTGGAATGCTTTAGTTATGTCACTAAATGATTTGTACATTTGAAGGTCATCATGTGGGTGAGAGTAGTGTTTGAGATGATGATGTAACGGGAGGCTGTTTTAATCGTTACAGGATGTATGCAGCCCAATGTGTCTGTTAGCCATACAGTGAATCAGTAGGTAGTTCCTATTCCTGGAAATGTATTTATTTGTGTCGGGGGGTGTCAGTCCCAGCTCTCCCAGCCCGGTAACTCAGCAGATGACGGCGATGAGCATCTCCCACGATTCGGGAGCTGTAGACTCGGATCGAGCGGAGGCGGAGGAGGAGGGAGAGGAAGAGGGCACTTCCAACAGCTCAGGTAAACATCACAGGACTCGGCGGCCCTTTTTAAGCGAATCCGTCCCCACCCACTATTCGCGTGAAGTGAGTCACACTCGCAGCTGTGGAGGCCCTGCTTGTTAACGTGAGGAATAAACATGCAAACCGTAGATGCACTGGCATGAAAACAGTATGAATATACACTCTCAGGATGGTGCTTTTTTAATTTAACTTTCTTCCATTCACAAATATCAGCTTTTTAAATAATATTTTAATGCTATTGGGGGGGGGGGGTTCCTCATCATAACATATTTTATGCATGAAAGATGAAACGTCCAATTATTTGTATATATATTCTTTGTCACACTGACTGGTTTGTCATGGCCCCTAATATCACAAATCCATCCTATCAAATGTATAAATGGGGAGAGGGTGAACTCTGCGATGCTTTTTGGCCGTAAATGGCACTGAAAGAGAAATACAGAATAACGACCAACATATTTTATACCGTCTGTTGTTCTAGATTACAACATTTTCTCACAGCAGTGACTCTTTTTGTTCTATTCGTTGTAATTTTGGGATATTCAGTTTTATTTTATCATGTATATATCCGAAGGATGTTTGTGAAGGAAACAATGGATGGGTTGCTTTATTGTGTGTGTCTGGGTTTTTTTTGTTTTTTAATTTCATCAGACCCGGTGGAGGAAGCAGCGCAGGCTTTGTCTGATAATGACCAAACTCCAGATAAAAACAAGAAAAAGAACCGTTGCTTCTCTTGCCGGAAGAAAGTGGGCCTTACTGGTAAGGAAGTGAGGAATATTGTTTTTGCCTGAGAGTCGTCATAATTCTGATTGCGATGACATTTATCAGAAGCTTCCAGCAATTCAGTGTCTGACAATCACAATAGATTACATTTGGGGGGGAGGAGAGGGGAGGGGGGGGGTTCTTGAAATAATTCCGCCACGTCTCATCTGACCTGAAACTTGGATCCAAGTGTTGGATATTTAGTCATGTTTCTACCGTAAAATGTGATCTAAACAGTAAGCCTTTGCACAGAGACGAGCATTCGGCAGCTTAGTGGTGCATTTCACGGTGTTCTGCCTCCACCTTTTAGACAAAGTGGATAAACTCCAGTTTTCCACAGCCTCCACTCATTTGTTTGATTACATTTTAATGTCTTAACCCGGAAAACAAACAAAACAAAGCTATGTGTCATGTACCTACATTAACGCGTTACGCGACCGTTAGTTAACATTTCAGCTTTTAGCTCGGTGGCGATCGCCGAAAAAAAGACCAGAAACACCACAAATGATCGGTTTCGTACGGGGACTATTTTTCTCTATGCTACTGAAATGCGATACACAACGTTCGGTGGTTAATACTATGCGCGTCGGGCCTAACAACACCCTCGAACTGTTGCATAATTGGACGATAAAGTACCTCATCGCTTAATCGAAGCACTACTCGCCCTCTACACGATAATCACCGCGCGGAAGTAACTTCTCGCTCTTCCCTCTGCCGAAGGTTTCGACTGTCGCTGCGGGAACCTGTTCTGTGCCATCCACCGCTACTCCGACAAACACGACTGTCCCTTCGACTACCGGAGCGCAGCCGCCGCCCGCATACGCAAGGAGAACCCCATCGTGGTGGCGGAGAAGATCCAGAAGTTATGAGGAGCGAGTTCAAACCAACAACAACAACAAAAAAGAAAAAGTCTCTGACTCTGTGAATATGAACAATGGCGACTTGGAGGAGAACACCTGAAATCATGGCTTCATTAGTTCATGGTAGACCAAGCCCGGGTGTGGGGGGGGGGGGTTGCAGCCGCTGTCCACATGCTCCAGACGCCCCTACTAGCATCTCCTTGTCTCTCCGCTGTTGTGTGTGTGTGTGTGTGTGTGTGTGTGTATGAAAGCCGCTGTGTGCACATTTACTTGAGAGTCGGGCAGAGTGCCGTGGGGGCTTGGTTGACATTATGTCGCTGCTGGACGGCAGGGGGCATTTGATTTGAGCCCTTTTTGTTTCTCAACCCCGGGGGGGATCGTTTGCTTTTTCATTTTGTACAATCCCTGCCAGGCAGTTGAGCTGAAGCTGGGGAATGTGTCACAGCCCGATCAGCGACACGGGGGTCAATTAAGGAGATTTCATCTATCAGCAAGACCTCTAAGGGCTTTGGAGTACACACACACACACACACACACACACACACACACACACACATATATATATATCCTCTAACCCCCTCCCCACGGACCACAAATGATGTCAACTTATTGTCAAATTGGCACCCCCCCCCCGTATCCTCATACCTTTTTCCATATGGGTCACCATATGTTGAACTCCCAAGTCTTAGCATTTTCCAAAAACGTTTCTCTTTGATATATCGACTTATCACACTGATATCGGGTGCATGAACAGTTTTTTTTTAGTTTTTTTGGGAGGGGGGGGGGGGGTAGGCAGAACAGAGAACCTTGACTCACTTGCGTGTTTCTTTTTTTTTCCCCCTATTTTAATGAGTGTATGACATCAGAAGATCTATATTAATATATTGTAGTTAGCTTGAATTGTGTGATTGCATTCTATTTATTTTTTATCGTTTGGTTGGTCTGTGCTGGAGGATTGGCGGCATGTGTCAGCAAATCGCTCAGATTTGCCCTTAATACCTTTTTCAATTATATTTAAGTAGTTCCATCTTGATTATATAACCATTAAATAAAAATTACACAAGCTTTGACATGATGGAGTAGAGTCCGGTTAAGCCGTTACGCCCACAACTGTGCAGCAAAATGTTCATAGTCTTTTTTTTGTCATTTGACAAGCGGGCCGACGCCGGCTCAGTTTTGTTCAGCATCGGTGGTCATTTGCCGTTTATAGTTTAACTAAATGGCCGAAGAAATCGCCCGACCGGTGACACAACCCCCAAATCCCTTTTTTTTTTTTTTTTTTTTTCTGTTCCACGAGGGAAGCTTCTCGTCTCTAACCACCAGCAGGCCGCCGACACGAGCTGAATGAAAACTGACCTGGGTGGCGGCTTTGAAGATTGTCGCTTGCTGTGTTTTTGCGATGTGCGTCCGATCCGGGGGACGACCGCCTGTGGCGAGCTGCTCCCCGGGGGCGATGGGACTCCCACTGCATGTGTGCGATTCAAACATACAAGTTACTGTTCTTGGAAGCGACTGCACGGTTTAAAATGAAGCTGAAAAAAAAAACAAGAGCAGCCACGCAGCAGTAGCACAATGCATGGCTGGAACCTTTTAGGTCAAGTTAACAGGGCTCTACGGTTTTTGTTTTGTTTCCCTCCATATGTAAATACCACGTGGTTCCTATTCATATAATATAATCTTATTGTAGCTGTTGCCAAGTAACGACGGTTTGGGACTACGGCGAAGAACAGTCCGATGTGTATTAAAAGTGCTTTTCAAAAGGACGCCACATTGAAGCATCGATCCCCATTTTAATTTTCTCTTCTTTCCCATTTTATTGACACGTGACTGATCGCAGCATCTGCCCGTGTCATTTCCAAAGTGTATTCAGCATCTGGCTCCACCGTGAGCCTTCTGTTCTACAACCCTACTGAGACTGTCATCAAGCCCCGTAAGCTTTATTAACCTCGCCGAATCACACGTTATCCCAGCACATGCTTTTATCCTGTTTGGTCTATTCTTAGCAACGGGGATAATGCGCTAAAAAAGGCCCATGGGATGCAGAGGGGCCGTTAAGCTTTCTCTGTAAATGATGCTAGATCGTCATTAAGTATTTATGAAAGCGCCGTAGAAAAGTTTTAAAGGAACTTTCAGTGTTTTTGTTTTTAAAATAAGCTAATGCAGGATGTATTTGGACGTGAATGAGGCCTCTCCTTGGATGCAAAGAATATCATGTAGCACCTTGGTTGAGTTTAGTCCCGGCTCCTTTATGGGGCATAACTCCCGGTTTGAGTCCCGGGGTGGGTGATGGGCGTACAAGTGGCCTTGGGACTTGCAATGCCCTCACGGAGGATGATGATGTAATGACCACTTCTGGGAAAGGCGACAGTCTAAATGTTGTCACATTCGGGGGGAATTTGCGGTTGAAACTCGGTCCTCCGTCAACAAGTATTCCGAATGGTCAAGCTTGCTGGGTTCATGACCTTTACAAAGCAGCGTCGCTCACTTTTCCTTTTGCGGATCGAAAGTCCTTCTTGGGAGGAAGTACTTTGCTTTGGGTGATTATTCAGCTGTGGGAATTGTGATGATTTCACAGTTCACACTTGTTTTCTATCGACCGCTCACGTCCAACCCCCACCCCTTATTTTCTTGATAAACGTGGGCAGTTTGAATGTAAACCCCCATAATTCACACAGTCAGCTGTAAGGTCATTCATCAGACCCCTGTGCCCTGTTATTGTCTCGTGTTTCGGGGCGTACGGCCCAATTTTCCGACCTGTGATTTGGGATGACAGACTTGGCACCAGCAATTAACGCAACCATAAAATAATCTAGATGGTCTCAGTATATATATCTTATACATTGCTCCTCCCTCTGTACTTTTGCTTCGATAGTTTTGATGTCTTCAATCCCGTCTTAAGCACAATCTTTCATAATCAATGTCTTCATTGTGCGAGGGTTTAGATTGATAATAATGATGAACCTTCAGGTGCGACAAGTCTGGTTCATGTTGAGTTTCACTGCGGAAGAGAAGACGAAGGACGGTGACTCGGTTCAATCTATGTTTTCAAGATGAGCTTGAGGGGCATCAAATGAAATCCACAATGTTCAGAGACTGTACCTCTTGTTCCTCGGCACCCCAGTCCCCCAGAAACACCACCAGATATCGTTTTCTTTTGTTTTCTTTGAAGATTTAGGATTGTATGATGTGTAAGAGTAAGTATAAAACAATAAATTCACAAAGTTTATTTTAAATTACACTTGTCTTTTGTCTTTTTTTTAATGTTGAAAATGTCTAAATATAATTTATATATTCACTGGTGTGAACTTGAAAGGCAAATATGACGTCTTTGCTGCTCCAGTAGATTCACAAGTTGTGCCCCAATTAATTTTTACTAGTTTATAGTTTTTAAATACAAAACAAAGACTATAGTAACAAATGACACGATGGGCTACTTAACCAAACGTTGAAACGCTGACATTTGCAGTTATTGGCAGGTGACGTATTCCCGTCATGTTTTATATTATCACGGTTGCCGACGCAAAACAAGAGAGATAAAACGTCCTGTTTTTTTTATTCACGAACAGTAACAAAGTCCCAGCAACTTTACTTTTCGTCACCGACACTGAGTTATTGTGATGATTCATAGGCACTGCGGTAACAATCTCTTTATTTTCTCAAAAGGTGCAACTGAACAATGAGGTTCAACAATGTCACCTTCTAGCGCGGCGTCGTTGACCCACACCGGCGACGAGTTTCCACTAATTGTCCAATGGAAACTCCTGACGTCACATCCGGTCAGCTGTCACTTCCGGGTGCATCGAAACGGCGGAGAAGGAAGGAAAACCCCGCACGTACACGGATTAACTTAAATGACAAGACGACAGCCGTAAAACCCGAAAGGAGACGCCAGCGCTGTGCGGGATGGATTCACGGTGAAAGCCGCACACGTCGGGAACTGCGTATTTGCGGCGTTTTGCTCCGCGAGGCCGGCGAACGGGCGATTGTTTTTGAGCGAGCGGCTAGCCGTGTTTACGTCTTCTTGCTAGCTAAAGCCGCCGTGGCGTCAGCTGCTACGCGCACACCAGCGGCTTCTCTCCCCGCTGATGTGTCACCTGTAGTTTTCATACCTCACACGTTTACTTGAAATACTTTTAAGGGAATGCAGTTGGGAGGGAGAAGGGAAACGCTCGCAGCTCGTGTTTTAAGTCCCATCGGAAACGCTTATTGCTCCTCGAAGACAGTCCAGAAGTGATCGGGTTTTTTTCCCCCTCAAATATAATACAGGGCACGTTTGGGTGCCTCGTCAACAGCTCAACAAATGCACAAAATGGATGTGATCTGGACTTTAGTCCCCACGCAGATAACTCAGCAGATACTTTGTAAATAACACTTCCTGTCAGCCGTGCGGCTCCACTACTTTTTTTCCTGCTTCTGCTGACTGTGCACATTTACGATCAGGATCCTGCGTTCAAAGGAGACCGGAGAGGAAGAAGTCTTTCTTGTTTTAACTCTTTCAACTCGACTCCTTTTTTTTACTTTCGTCTTGGCCTAAGCTCATACTCAACAGGTACGTTTACTGTCCTTGTCCAACACATGTATTCTATGTTTGTTGTGTTGCATTCAATGACTCTTTAAAAATAAGAACTATTTTTGCCAATGAGCAAGTGATGAGTTATGATTAAATGGTTTACCAGACCGCTGTCTGTGCCTATTTGAAGCCGGTTAATGAACGTCCAAAAAGTTAAAGCAGAAATAATTATCGGTTTGGTTGAAGAACCAACCCTTATTGTTTGTGTCACTTCTCAAGGGAACATTCTTGAGATGTAACTGTTCCAGCCGCTCTGCTCTAAGGACTTGATTTGTTTCTTTGTGTAATGTCACAGTTAACATCTCTGAGACTAAAACGAAAAAAACATGACGTGTATTTACTGGAAAAGATAAGCCAGGAATTAAGCTTTTCTAGCTACATTACCATCATTATGACTGGATGCCTTTATACATAACATCGTAATAAGAATGTCATTGTTTTTAACACTGGGATGTTGTGGAGTCACAGTGATCCTCTTGTCTTCCCCCCCGGCACAGTGAAGGATGAATGGCCTCTCTCTCAGAGAGCTCTGCTGCCTTTTCTGCTGCCCGCCGTGTCCCGGCCGCATCGCCGCCAAGCTCGCCTTCCTCCCGCCTGAGCCCACTTACACCTTCCTCCCAGACCTAGAGGCTGGCCCTGCACCACCCGCAGCAGCACCACCCGCAGCACCAGCAGCAGCACCAGCACCAGCAGCACCAGCACCAGCAGCAGGGACGACGGGGACATCCAGCCTGCGGGCGCGGAGCGGTGCATCGGTCGCCGGGAGCGGAGGGCCCGTGGAGAGCAGATGGAAGCTCCACCTGACGGAGCGAGCGGAGTTTCAGTACTCTCAGAGAGAGCTGGACACGATCGAGGTGTTCCTCGCGCGGTCCAGCCGCGGCAACCGCGTCGGCTGCATGTACATCCGCTGCGTTCCCAACGCCAGGTGGGCCTGCCTCGCCAGTCTGTGTTAATGGGTTTCTTTTGACTGTGTGTCACCGTACCTTCCTTCCTTGTCGGTATTCTTTCACTCGCACTCAGGTCTGCTTCCTTAACCTGTCTCCTTGTTGACTCTGCTGACTGAAAGGTTGTCTTCTCTTGTCATCTCCTGTTTTTCCATTGGAAAGGACACATGATTTGCTCAGATCCAGGTTCATATATTCTAGCTTAAATGTTCAGAAAACTCTTACTGTCTGTCTGAATATACCTGTGTCCCTCTGTCTGACGCGCTTTGTTTGAACACTTTCACTGAAATTTCACCGCTTGGGTCCACGTTTACTTCCTATTTGTTCCGCTGTTTAGTGACAAATAGTGTCTGGCTTTCTTCCCTTTAGACTTTAGCAGAAGTTTTATGTTTATGATGTAGTGTAAAAGTATTTAACAGCAGTGTCATGGCCATCCTGTTGCTGTGTGCTGCTGCTGATTAATTCACTAAATCAATTAAAAAGACATGGACAGGCTTGTGTTACAGTCTGTGCGACTTCTATTAATGTCGAGCTTGTGTTACATGAACGAATCCACACTAGACGCGATATGGCAGAGTCATTGTTACCTCTGCATTCCGAGTGGAGAGAGCCACGGGGGCAAAGCCACGGGCCGCGTGGTTTCACAACCCAAACCCGCACAGGGAGGCTTCCAAAAACACAACCGTCCCGTGTGTCGAAAAAAGTCTCCGGTTTCTCAAAGGAGCTCAACGTGCGTTCATGAATAAAAGGCGAGGGCGAGACGGACAGCTCTTCTAGTGGATACCCTCCTTCTCGGGTTGTGCGAAATGTCCAGAAGTCATTTGTCACGAGAGGTAAACCGATCCTCCTGCACTTTGGATCCTAAAGCCGTGTCGCTTATGGTTTGGTTCATCGCCACGTTGCCGGGTTGGGGAACTCGTCCACGGAATACTGTAACTTCATCACATCTGAGGGGTCGTGGGCCCGTTTGCTTACGCCGTCTCTTGCCTGTGTGTCCTGTCAGATTTACAGTGCTCTTCTCCCACGGCAACGCAGTCGACCTGGGCCAGATGAGCAGTTTCTACATCGGCCTCGGCACTCGCATCAACTGCAACATCTTCTCCTACGACTACTCCGGCTACGGCGCCAGCACCGGCAAGCCCTCTGAGAAGAACCTCTACGCGGACATCGATGCCGCCTGGCACGCCCTGCGCTCACGGTATGTTTTTTTTTATATACAGACCGCTATCACGTTTGTTTACTTCCGGTAGTTGACCGCGGAAACGGCCGCTAGCTGCAGTCAGTTACATCCAGATGGAGAGAGCTTTTTGCATTGGAAGTAAAACAAACAGAGGTGTGACATACAGCAGGGAACTGTGCAGAGGAATTACTCCACGTGTCAAACAGAAGGGGGGTGAGTCGCAAACGGACCACTTAAAACACTGCTATGTTAAGCTAGCTGCCAGGCTAAGCTAGCTGCTATGCTACTTCCATCTCAACATCTACCCTACATGGCACACAGTCCGCAGAGGACCACCACCGTGTCCCTAAAAGACCGTGGTTTGAAAACGTCCCGGCTAAATGTGGGGAGATTGATGGCACTTCAAACAAAGCCCTCAAATGATGGAGAGTTGAGAGCAAAGTGCACGAGGACCGCAGGAGGAGTCGCTAGTTCAACATGTTCCACCCGGTGGAATTCTGTCTCCAAGATGATCAAATGTATGTAGTTTTGTGTTTAAAATAACATTAACAATTAAACAACAGTGTCTAAAATACGCTCTTTCAATTAAGTGATTACTCATTACTTTTAAGATTTAGTCTTTAGAAGAAAAACATTCATTATAAACAACATTGTAACAACAACATTCATTAATCGCCATTAATCAAGATAAATGAATTTCAAAATGTGAGATTAATTATTTTATTTTTTTGTTTTTTTTATCTATTGACAGCCCTAATGTTGTATGTCCTTTAAAAAAAAAAGATAAATGAAAATGGTATTGACCAAAGCTTGTTTTTAGGTGAATTCATCGCTACACAGAACAGAATCCCCAAAATGTCTGTGGCTTTTAAAAATATTTTTGAGCGCCGACTTTTCTTGTCCATTTGGGTCGGTTGTGGCGTTTAGTTGGCGTCTGATTGTGGAAGCTGAAGCCTCAGTGCTTGCTGCAGGTGTTCTGTATTCAAGGGTTTTTGGCCGTCTCCCTCCTTTAGAAAGCCTGTGGCCGCCGTACAAAGCTTACTCTTCCTGCCACGTCCAGGTAGTGTAGCCAGCATTCCTTTTTTTACTTTGAACTGGCCATCTATGCTTCCACTGGTATTTCTAGGAACATCCGGAGCCTTTTTTCTTGTTTGCAATGAGGGATTCTATAAAGGGAGTTTAATCATTTGCAGATGCTGTAGCCATTAAAAGCGTCACTTATTTGAGTTGATTATTTAAAAGGCTGAGTTTTGTAATTATTATTTTGTATTTTTTTTGTCAGGTATGGCATCAGCCCGGAGAATATCATCCTGTACGGACAGAGCATTGGTACCGTCCCCACCGTGGACCTGGCGTCCCGGTACGAGTGCGGCGCCGTGGTGCTTCACTCCCCCCTGACGTCCGGCATGCGAGTGGCCTTTCCCGACACCAAGAAGACGTATTGCTTCGACGCGTTCCCCAAGTAAGTCTCTTGTTTGGTGACAAACATTCCATTTGTGTTTGTTAGCACGCGCACATGACAACATATGTAGCATTTGACAACCGGCTCTAAGGATTACAGTTTTGTCTAAGAAATCTTCCTACAACAAACAAAGCCTTTTGTCACATTCTTTTTTTCTTTTTTCTGCGCCGTAGAATCCCAAAATAAGGTGTTCCTTTGAACAGGCTCACACAAAGATTATGGAGAGTATTTGGCTGCCAGTTGGCATTTCCAAATAATTACAGATCTGCTACCGGAGAAGCGTAATTTCTATTTGCGCTGAAAGTGTTTCTTGTACAAGAGAAACAGCTACACTGAAAGAGCAGCTCCGTAATGGCTGTGTTAATGTCTTCACTCGGTGACGATGGACATTGTTTGTATTTTATTCTTCTAGATGTGGGCAGGCCACCCTAATACTAATATTTCAGAGAAGAACCATCGTGTCATCGTCTACGGCGACCAAAATCTCTGTTTGTACTAAAAGTGACCTACAGTGAGAGCTATTCCTAGTTTATCTGTGACTTTTAACAGCAGGGTTGGACTTGCACCCAATTACGTTCAGGTAATAAACTCTTACGGTCCAACACTTTTTTTAACCTAAATGGCAGATAAAGACGGTGTTTGCGAGTTCAAGTAAGATATTCAGACGTGGCCTGGGGAGGTTCATGGAGTCTGAAACCTGTGATGACATCATGTGTAACGTCTAGAGCTGCTCCGTAGATCATGTGCCAGGGACTTTTTAAAATCCCCCACGGGATGCACGCTCTTCTATTTCACACCCAAAAGAGCTCTATTGTATCAGTGTTTTATGGAACAGAAAATGTGCCCCAACACGATGACATCGCGCCACCATTCCCTCGTCTAGGCAGCAGTTCTGATCTAGTCTGATTTCATTTCAGCATGCTAGTTTGGGGCTTTTGGACAGTCGTTCATGGCGGCTAATATTTTTCCACGTCTTGGACCATAACAAACAACATGAGTTAATTTTTTTGAAATGGTCTTTTAATTTAGATCTGCAGCTTTCAGAATGTGAGCGCTTCATCATGCGATGCACTTTACAAAAGAGGGAACCTTCATTATGTGTAGGAAGCTTTCAGAGTGGGCAGCTGGCATCCTTCCAGCCTCTTTATCTGCTGATCTCCACCTAAACATTCCGAGGGAGGACACGAGTCATCATGTGTTTAAGGCTTCCGTCTGTTTTGGGGGATTTCCGCCTTTGCGTTCGTCCGCGCCCTTTTTCGTCGTCAGCGCGATACGTCACGAGCGCATCAAGAATCAGGAAACATTTATTGCCATAATATGTCAGACATACATGGAATTTGACTTGGCGGTTGGTGCGTAACAGTAGACAGTACGGTAATGGACGACAAGACAACAGTGCACGAGGAATAAAATAAAATACAATGCTATGGGTTAGTAGTATAAGGCTATGGGTTAGTTTAAAATAAAAGAATAAAAGTTAGTTAAAAAATATTAAAAAATAAAGTGCACTAGCGAACAGGAACGGCTACGATCTTTTTGGCTCCCTTCAGGGTCCTAGAAGGGACGCGTGCATGTTTGTTTGCTGCAATGTCCACAAGGGCTGTACTCGAGAGACCGCCATTAACATTGTACACACATCGTCAGTTACCTTGTTTTTTTTTTTTTTTTTTTTTATTCTCTCCGTCCTCCAGCATCGAGAAAGTCTCCAAGATCACGTCCCCGGTGCTCATCATCCACGGGACGGAGGACGAGGTCATCGACTTCTCCCACGGCCTGGCTCTGTTCGAGCGCTGCCCCAAAGCCGTGGAGCCTCTGTGGGTGGAGGGGGCGGGGCACAACGACATTGAGCTGTACAGCCAGTACCTGGAGCGCCTGCGCCGCTTCATAGGGCAGGAGCTGGCCGTGCAGCACGCCTGACCTCACCGCCGTGGCGCCGAGTGCGTTCGTGGACATTGCAGATAGAGGTGTGTGAGTGTGAAAGGTGGGGGGGGGGGGCGGCTGCGCAGTGCAGTTACTTTGGTATTACAAGAGATCTGGGAATTTTTTTTTTAATGGTAACTCGAGTTAAATGGAAAAGGAAACTACAGAATGCCCTTTCAAAATAAACCGTTTTCACACGCTTGCTTTTTTTTTTTCTTCCGTTTTCTTAACACCTGTTTGTAAGAACGTTTTTCTACAGTTTCTATTAGTAACCCCGGAATAAATTAGCGTAATCCAATTTGAAGCCTGACAATAAATCCCGGTGGATTTAACGTTATTGTCATTTTGTAGTTACTAGTTGTGTGGCGTTGGACTGCATTATATTGCACAGCGTCCTGATATCCTATGTATGGCCTCATGTATGCACTACTTACATGCGTAATTGTCTTTCACAGTACTGAACATTTTGCTTAGGTAGCCCTTTTTTCTTTTAGGAAATTGTTCTACTTTTGGATTTTTTTTTTTGGATTTTTTTTTTTAATGCAGTCGACAAAATCTTTTCAGATGCTTAAAGAGAAGGGGTGTGTGTGTGTGTGTGTGTGTGTGTGTGTGTGTGGTCTGTTTTCAGGTTGGGTTGAAGCAAACCATTTTTCTTTTTTTTTAAATCTCTTCCATCATGTTGTCGGTCACATCCGTATCCCGGTACCACAGGGGGATCGGATGTGATAAAGAAAGCGCCGGAGCGTCAGGAAGAGAAACGCGTCCAGCGGGACGTCTGCGAGGCTGTCGGCCGTCTCTTTGTGTGTGTTTAAGTCCTGGTTGTGTTGTTTATGTCTCACACCAGTCGGTCACAGCTGTCGCCCGAGTTCCGGTTTCCCCTCTCCGCCTGGAACAGAGCCGTGACACTAAAATCAAACAGGCCTCTGTGTTCTACCTCCGGACCCCCCAAACCCCCCCTTTTTTTTGTAATCTCCAAAGCTGTCTGACTGCTATCCCGAACACCCCGTCCCCAGGGGAGGTTTTGTCCATCTGGGAAGTGGCGTCACCACGGAATCTGGATCTAAAGAAACAATGAGGTTCCCCTTCTGACAAACGAGAATCCTCCCTAATCTTTATCGCCGATGAGCAGAGGACCAGAGGCTCCTTCTCAGTAAGATGCAGCTGTGGCTCCAGCAGCGCAGCGAGACAGCGTTTTGGCACTTTCACACACTCCAACACTCTATTACTTGAACTTTAACATCTGTCTGTGTACAAGCTGCTGGTGACGCTGTGGGTTTGACAGAGAGTTTACTATGAAAGATAAACGACCTTTTCTAGCTGCTGGTGTGACTTTTGTAACTAATGCAAACGTTCAAAAGCACGTTGTATTCCCTTTTGTGACTTTTCTTTCCTTTTTTTTTTTTGGGATTCGCAGATTTATTTATGGGGATATCACTAACTAGCATACAGAAAATTGATTTGATTTGTTCGCACGCGGGAGTAACTGGTTTAGAATCGGTCCGCGTAAACTTCTCATGAGATAAACGGGAATCTGCATCCGTCTTCGTCAGAGTGGCTGCACTCCCCTTTTTAAACGCTTTCGATTTAGACACAGAAGTCCCTTATTTACAGTTTATGACGCGTTCAAATGGAAAGCTTGAAAACACATCTGCTCCGTGAAATCTGTTTTACACGATGAACCTCAGCGTTGCCCCCTTTTTGAAAAACATCTTTGTGGAATACTGAGGTCACAACTTTTTGGGGTTTTCTTGTGTACATACAAACCAAAGTGTAACTTTTCAGGACTTTATCCAGTGTACCTGCTGTTTGTGTTGGTCTCTTTGTAACCAAAGGCAATTTCTTTTATCAAAATGTATATTCATCTTTGTTGGTCCAATCTTTTTTCACTACACAATACATTTGGATACAAATGAGATGTGACCATTTGTCATGTTGCTAAATAATGATCCTTTTGTCATATTTGATTTCAAATATGCAACAACGGAGTTGTTTTTTGTTTAATTGATCATTTGTGGAGGAATACAACGATTTACAGCAAAGCTGTGAGTTTGGATACGTTAAGGCAAAAAAGTGTGTGTTTGTCTGTGTGGGATGATTAAAGAACTAAAGAGGAGCTTCACGCTGGAATGAAAAGATTTTCTTTTTACTTTATTCCATTATTGGAATTACTGGCGTCCTAAAACGTTAGCCAATGTTTATTTTACTGACTAATTTTTAGCTTTTTTTTGGTCTTTTTGCGATAATTGAAAAGTTAATAAAACATTATCATGAATTAATGTTCAGCGTGTCTCTTGTTTTGTTTCAAAGTTATTTCCTCCATCCAGGTGTCGCTTTACAGTGAAGGGACATGCTCCAGTGCTCCTACGGGTTAAAAGCAGCCGCAGTTGGTGCAGCCTGACCTGCTGCATGGAGCAGCTCCACCAGCAGCACTCCTCAGCTCCGTCTTTCCCACGGCGCTGAGCACCCACAGCCCTCCGTGCTGTCGTGTCATCAAAGCATCGTGGCCGCGCTGTTTCCCCCACAGACGGGAGACTTAAACGAGGGCTTTGAAGCCTTTTTCCATGTCCCTCAACCTGAGGATCGTTGAGTCCTGAGCCCTTTAGGCTGCAGATCAGCTGGAGATGCAGATCCACGTAGAGCGCAAAGGGCCTGGGAAAGGAAAGGAAGCGGCGTGTTGTTTCTGAGTGGTCATTGTGCATTTAACAGGTTTCCGTGACGACCTGAGAAGCAGGGCTGCAGATAACCCGACGTTTATTTGGACAAAAAGTAACTCAAGCCAAGTTTTTCATTGGAACCTTTTATTCTTAACCAGTGGTATTGTAGTTTAAAGATTTAGCAATGAATTATTCAAGCATCATTCACACTCTTGCGAGCTTTGTAAAATCCATTCTCGCAGACCCTTTGTCATCGTTTCTAATCTCATAATTCACTCTCGCATACAAGGATAAAGATTTATGAAACTCAAAGGATGCTGAGAAAATACCCGATGAATTACACATTATTGTAAACCCTTAGCGCTGCAGTGAACGTCTCAGTTGTCGCTCCACATATCTGAAATAGTATTCTTCATATGATCTCATAACCGCTACTTACCCTCCACTAATATGTTGCATCGTTAGCACACACAGATTTGTACTGTGTGTGTGTGTGTAAGTGTGTGTGTGCACGCTTGCGGCCCAGAGAAGTCCAACAGAGACGGTCTGACCCGGATATGAGGATGACGTCCCACTGCACAAACACTTTGATATCTTGCTGCATAATCGCTCAACAAGCTGCCGGCATGAGAGATCAGCTCGACCCTCTTCAAAAGGAACACGCAGGCGTCCTCGCCGACCTTTGAACATTAAGTGCTGGCGAGCATTTGCTGCTTCCATATTGTGCTGCAGGTTAATTAGCGGCTGGCCAGCAGGCCGAGTGTGTCTCTGGCTTCAGTTTCTCATTGCGGTTCCTGCAGAGCCTCCTTTGCCCCGTGCATTACGTGTGACTCGCTGATGTTTATCTGCTGTGCTGCGGGGGGGGGGGGGTTCTAACGCCGGATTGATTTGGAAGTCACCTTAAAAAAATAACCTGTATTTTTTTTACCCCAACATTGGCCTTCCTAAGCTTAATTATCACCTTTACTTACACACACACACCTCCTACATTAACTGATTGAAACAACCTTCAATATGTTTGGATTTTGTCATTAGTGGCCTTTTTAACAAAAAAAAACACAGATTGACACACGACAACACGTCCGTAGATCCAACAGATCCCCCAAAATCCTACACACGTTTTACTTTGATCAGTTGTCATGACACGTCTGGACGCATTGGAGGACTGAGTGACTTTGGTACGTGGGGTAAAAACCTCATCTAATAAAGAAATGTGTATTTCCCCCCCAGTCTTTGAGTTCCTGCGTTGGAAGGTTGTGACTGCTGCGTTCAACTCAGCAGAAATATCTTCCACTCAGCAGATTAACTTGGGCTCCGTCCAGCGCGGCCTTGATCGCGTCCATCCGAACAGGAAACGGTTGTTTGTGCGTTCGTGTTTATGTGCTCTGGAATGGGAAGTAAAAACAACAAGGAACAGAGACACCGTTTGAATGTAACTAATGATAATGAATATGGAGCTTTTCCCCAAAACATCAGACTGAAGCAAAAACACTCAGGACGACCACCATAACAATGATAATAATTTATTTATTTAGGTAAAGTAAAAGTCTTTGGCAGTGAAGACCACACGAACAGAGGTGGAGTTAATGAGAAAATTAAAAAAAAAAAAAAAAAAGGGAAGTGCTGCACGGAGACAAATTATTAGCCCAACTGGACCATAGACTTGAGTCCAGCAGGGAACCAGTTCTCCCAGTGGGGAAGTAACATCAACAGGTCGGACAAATTGGCACGAGAGCAAAGTAAGACCTGCAGGAGTGCGTTAGAACTGAAAGGGAGGCTCGCGGGAGTGTTCACGTGGGCCGCGGTCATGTGACAGGTGAGAGGCGTCGCCGTGTGCACCGCATGTCTTTACTACGTGGCGTGTAAGTAAAGATTTCCTCGCGTGTTTCACAGTAAAAATCTGGTACCGCCGTCAGTTCTCTCTTCTTTTTTTTCTTTCTTTTTTTTAAAATTGATCCCCTAAATTCGTTAACATTTACCGTGTCGCTCTCCAACGTGTCCGGTTTGAATTGTGTAACAAAAACCATTTTTTCTAAAAAGCAACAATTACAAACAAAAATAAGAATACATTTTAGGGAAAAACCACACACACGCGCACACACGCACACACAGCGGCTCGCTCACGCTTCTATAGTCACATCCCATTGGCTTCTCCTACCAACAAGTGCAGCTCATGTGATGAAGGCAAAGAGGTGCAAGTGTTTCCGATCCAGGAAGTCGGCTTCCTCTTCCTCCATGTTCTGGCACATACATTTATTACTTATTTAAAAACAATTCTGAAACTGCGAGGAGGACAAGGAGCATCTTCCTGGATTAGAAAGTAGCACAGATTCCGTCTCTAAACACTAGAGACGGGCGGGAAAGGCCTTTAAAATAGTTGCCATGGACTTGTTAAAACCAAGTAAGGGAACCAATCAGAATGCACCGAACATTCGTCACTCAGCTCATATTATGAGAGGGGCTGGATACACAAACAAACACAGTGCACACTGTGCACAAGCCGGACACGGCAGGTAAACATGCCCGACTAGAGAAAACAATGACATCGCAGCTCCTGTCAATCAATTAACCAATTAATATCATTTAGAAACACTAGCAGAGGTCCATTCATTCATTCATCGGTAAAAGGCATCAGGATTCAGTCAGCTTCTCCTACTATTCCACCACCTCCCTTCGCTTTCTGCATTCATCACACCAGTAAAGTGAACATTCAGCCCGACACAAACTTCACAAGACGTTCATTCACGATCGGAATACTGTTGGCGGTCAGGAGCTCGGCCGCTCCCAGAACAATGTGCAAAATCCTGTGGTGAAGAGCCGATGCCACTAGGGGGCGCTGCTTCACTCTCTCACAGGCACTACGAGTCCAGAGTCAAAAGTCAAGTCCCACTGGCACCGCAGTCACGCCACACAGGCCCAATATCAAGGCGGGGAGGGGGGAGTGGCACAGTTCAAGGGGAGACTCAAGATCAGCGTCAAAGAGGAGCTCTCAAAATGTCTGAAGACTCCTCGTGGATCCTCCGGAGCTCCTCGTCCGCCCCCCCTAAGAAACCCGGCGGGCTCGCATAGAGTCCGCCCCCCTTTTCTTGGTCCCGGATTAACGGTTTGAAAAGACAGAAAAAAAAAGAAGAAAAAAAAAGGAGGTACAACCGGCGGGACCGTGCAGTCCGGGGTCACAGCGTGACCTTGCTGAGTCTCAGCGACAGGCTGGAGCGGTGCTGCTGCGCCCGGGGGAGGGTGGAGCTGCAGCGGCTCCGCAGCTGCACCGGCAGCCTCGACGAGCCTCGCACCCGCAGCAGGAAGTCGTAGTTGGCGGAGGTGTTCATGGCGTAGAAGACGTTGCCGTTGTCGGGGATCACCAGTTCTGATTGGAGGGGCGAAGCAGACGTCGTGAGTGTTACGCTCTTACTGATGCAGCTGCTGATGTGGGTCATTGTGGTGTAAAAACCAGCTGATCAGTGGAAGAAATTACACCAAGAGGCAGTTTCTTTTTCTACCACATCAGCTTCTGCTTCCTGTATGGCTTGGAATTGTTTTGTGCCGTGCGTGTACAGTTTTTTTGGAAAGTGCAACATGTAGCAGCTTTCTACCTCTGATGAAGAGTGTGAATAATGAGAATGCTGCACATGTGTAGAAAACGTTTAATGAAAAAAAAAGAACATTTTCTTTTACCTCGCTCCTCAGAGATGACTTGCACCAGCTCGTATCCCTCCTCCGGCTCCACCTCCAGGTTGTGCTTCGCCATGGCTCTAGAAATCACCGCCGGAGTCTTGTCTTGATTGGTCAGCTATTTTTAGGGAACAGACAGGAAATGACTCTTAGATCACGTAAAAAAAAATAAAAAAATAAACCAAGGAGCGTCTCATCCAACGGAAACAGAACCACGTCTATTTACCAGTATGCTCTTGTAGAGATTCCCGTTGCCTTGCTCCAGGCTCACTCTTATGATGCACGCATCTTGGGCCTGCGTGTTATAAGCCGGGGCTGGACTCTGCGTGCTGGGGGACACCGGCGTGAGAGAGACGGAGCGCCTGTGGGTGCAGGGGGGCCCGGGAGGTGACGGGGACGCGGTAGTCACGGAAACGCTGGCCGTGGAGGAGCTGGTGTCCATGGAGTGGAGTGAATTACAAGAGGACGACTCCGAGAGCTGAGGAAGCATTTGAGCAAAAGTTCACAGACACATATAAAAAAAAGAAGGTAGGTGAGGTGAGGTGGAAGCGGGACGGGAACAAAGTGACGCACGGATTTGTTTTCTTTTAAATATTAACAATATTTTGAGTAAGGGGCCGTATGGAAATATGTAGGTGGGAGGGTGGGACTGGAAAAATGTGACTGTTTATTATCTTTTTTTGGAAAAAAGTTGTCTAAACTTTTGGCAGAGTATCCAAGAGTTGCAACAATTTACATTTTCTTATCATGTGATTTTGTGGCGTTTTATCTGACACCAGTGTTTTCACACAGTCCCTTGCTATGAGCGCGATGAGCCCACCTTGTTCTGCTGGGGGTCGGCGGTGTGGGTGGGCGTGAGGCCCTCGCTGTCCGACGGGCTGCTGGAGTCACTGGAGGACACGCTGACCGAGTCCATGCTCTCCCCCGAGCTGCCGGTGGGAGGCGAGCGCGGCGTCTCCCGGGCGGGAGAAGTGGCCGCGTTGCTGTCTGGTCCGAGGAACATCCTGCAAAAGTAAAAAAAGGAAGTTGGTCACTCACAGCAACCCAGTTCCTGAACGTGACATAGCGTGACGGTGCTTAATTTCCGTCACGTTTCCCTCCCCCGGACGTACTCACAGGCTGAGTCTCTTCACCATGCTTTTTCGAGGTTTGGGTGAGGTCGGACTGCTGTCACCGAGACCTTCGATCTCGCAGGACAAGGCGTAGCTGCGTGGGAGAACATTGATAATAAAACTCCGACATCGTAAAACAAAAATCACGTGCTCCCCCCCCACACACACCAAGGAATTCCCGAGCAAGAGATGGAAAGAGAACAAGACGACGAGAGAAACGGGGAGAGAAGGGAGTTCACCGAGCGAACGCGATCGGCACAATAGAGCAGTAGGGAGGGAGGACACGGCCTCCGTGCAGGAGACAGAGGACACAAAAGAAGCCTCCATTGTCTGTTCGGGAACAATGGCTCCAGCAGACCACGACCTCAAGCAGTAACGCGCCTGTGATCTAATGGAATAGTGGCGGGAGAAGGTCCCCCGGGGGGGGAGGGCGGTGAGGCGGCAGTACCTTTCCTCCTCACTGAGCTGAGCCTGGCCCTTAAACCAGCGCAGGAAGGCCGGCTCCGGGGACAGACAGTAGCTGTTGCAGGCCGACTGGAGCAGCTTGATCTGCGCGATCACCTCGAACTCCTGCGGAGACGGGGAGAGAAAGTCAGACGGGCTGGTGGGGGGCGGGAACCGGGGGGGCACCGGGAACCGGGGGGAGGCCTTCAGAACTCGCGCGGCCGCACTCACCCGACGTCTCTTCTCGAAGTTGTTCAGGCCGCCCTGCGGGAAGGACACGGAGAGAAACGCCGTCAGAACCGAGGACGCCGCGTACCGAACGGCCGCTTTAGACAAACAGCGCAAGGTTCTTTTTTTTTTTTTTCTCCTTTTTCTCACCTCTATCAAGTCAGGCAGCGCCGTATCCATCATGGTCAGGTCCGTTAGAAAGGTCCCCAGGTACGGTATCGTTCCTTGCATGGCCCCCTGTGAGACACACGGGTTTAAGTAAGGATGCAACAACAAGTTACATTTGCTTCACAGGCGCCAGGGTGGACGTTTGTAAGATGCAAATCACAGGCTTAATGCGCGTAAAGCACACAGTGCAGCAGACGAGGCCACGCCGCTGGAGAGGCACGTTGCCTTAGAGGAATGTGGGGCTTTAAAATCACGAAGCTTGCTTTAAAAAAAGCCTTCGCTTTGGCTCTCAGGAGCGTTTCGTCTCACCATTTCCTTCTGTAGCTGCAGTCTCTTGTGTGTGCGTTTCTGGTGCTCCTTGGCGCAGCTCTCCAGACTGGCAAACTTTGAAGTGCCTTCCTGTGGGGCAAACGGAAAGAAACACAGCTTCAGTCCTGCGGACCCTCCTCAGTCTGGGAGAAGAACACGTACCCGCGTTAAAACAAGGAGTTTAATAAATAAATAAATCTATATATATATATATATCTCTCCATGGATGAAGTGGTTTTTATAGCACCCAGACCTGCTGTATCATCCAGCGTCAAACAAACGCTGAGTTAGAGCTCACCCTCATGAGGAGCTCTCTGCTGGTCAGGTAGTTGTTGTGATCGGAGAAAATGTCCGACAGCTCCTCAAAGGTCTGCATGCTGTCCCTGTGTGAAGCACGGACTCGCGTCAGCTACGGGTAACGGACAGATCAGCAGAAAAGCACACGTGTGCTGCAAAAGCAAATGCACATTATCCCGTCAGGACTCACTTGTGCACACAGGCCCACACCCTCTTCAGCCTGTACAGAGGGTTCGACTGCAGCGCCGACACGATGGCTTTCAAAGACGAGAAGTTTTTGCGTATTCGACACTCCTGAGCGATTTCTATCCAGCGCTGGATGACCCGCGCTCTGACATGCGGCCTGATCTGCCGGTGCTTCAGCACCGTGCTGACCACGCAGGCCGTCACCGCGTTGAACTGCGTGATCGTGGCGCGGACGGTGGGGGCGCTGTGCTTGTTGTGCTTCTTGTCCCTCTGAGACCAGACGGAGCCCAGGCAGTGGTGGGGCACCACCTTTTTGAACAACAGCTGCAGCAGAAGAAGAAGAAGAAGAAAGGGGGCGCGGGGTGTAAGTGTGGGGTTCGGCTGCGTAGCGGTTTCGCGGCGCGGCGTCTCCACTCACCGCGTCCATGTAGGTCAGCTGCTCGGCCACCAGGTCGGACTCGAACGACAGGAAGTTCTCCTGGACCTCGACCTCCACTTCCTCCTCCTCCCCCAGGCAGAAAGAACTGTTCCCGTGGAAACCAGCTGAACGCAGGAAAAAAGGATTCGTCTCGGAGGGAATTTATACACGTTATGAAAGAGAGTAAACAGAAGTTGTTAGCTACCGTCAGTGTCGTCCAGGGCGGCCTGACTCTGCAGCTGCTCCAGCAGGCCCTCGGCCCGTCTGAGCGCCTCGGAGCCGGGCAGCGCCCTGCGCAGGTAGTCCATCAGCATGTGGAGACACGGGTAGTCGGGGGGCTCTTGAAAGTCTTCAGGACACTGGTCCAACCAGGCACGCAGGATGGAGGCCAAGGCACTGTGGAGAGACAGCGGGGGAAGACCCGAGTGTTTGAAAAATGTTCTTCCATGTGGAAGTGTTGGTGGCTACGGAAAAAGGGTCACTCACCTTCTGATGGCGCCGTCGGATTCAGAGCCTTTGCATTTTCCTGCGTCTTGCTCGGTTCGCTCCGGGCTGCCGTACCTGCAGCGGAGAAGAAGAAGAATTCAAAACCACTGAAAAAAAAAAGAGTCGGGCCGGATGCACCGTCGCGGCGCCTCACTGCGGCCCCACCTGTCGAGCAGCAGCTGCAGGACGGTCTGCGTGCTGGCGAAGGCTCTGTAGGTGGACAGGAAGATGGAGGTGTAGGTGAGGTCGTTGTCTCCGGACGCCGTCAGCAGCGTCTCCACCAGACGCTCCAGTGTTCCGGCGCGGATGCTTCGGATTTTGCAGGTCTCCAGCTGGCTCACCGTGTGGCCGGGAGGCAGGCGATCCCCCTCCGCCTGAACACACACAAGTTCCCGCCGGTAAACCAGTGCGAGCTGAGCCTTCGGAAGCTTCGTTTGAGTCTGGCTTTGATTTCATACTGGAGTTGAGCTTTTAAAAACAGTTCAACGGAATAAAAAGATGGGAGGAAACGGTGACGACAAGCGTAGCCCTAGATTTAATTCTGAAATCTCCAGGTGTGTCCGACTATTGTGTCTACGGGGACACGGGCCGAGAGGTTACAAAACAGGCCGAGGGCGAGGAGAGGAGAGGAGAGGAGAGGAGGGGAAGAGGCCGCCGTGGAGTTAGCAACAGGAAACGCTCCAATCTGCTTCTAATCACAGCAGGCCCCTCCTCCACCGCCCGACGGAGGGGAGGACAGCCAAGCAAAGTTCTCTTAACACCACGACGGATCTCTGTGAGGCGCGCGCACACACACACACACACATCTACAATTCCCAATCAATTAAAACGGAATCCGCCTCGCAGACTGTAAACACACAGTCCCACTGACGAACAGTAATTGCTGTTATTCACTTACAATTGGCTGTTTATAGTAAATAAGAAGGCCTCAATAGGGGATCCCTCTCCGTTCTACCCAGTCTCAATAGACAGCGCTGTGTAAAAAAACACACACCCATGTTGTTTTAATTAGCTGGAAATACAGTTGCCAGCTCACGCCGTAACTACACCAATACAGTGTGAAAGCCGCAGAGCCGTTATCCACTTCTTCTGTTGTGTTCCAACTCCCGTCCCCGATTGTCAGCACAGAGAGACACCACGGTGGTACAAACACACCAACAACACAAGGATTCGCAAAGAGGAGCATCTGTAATTGCCATTTTGCTGGGTTCATGGATCCCCTCCATAGGAAACACACAAGGAGGAACCGAGGCCCTGATTGGCCCACACAGTGTGATGCCATGCTGTATAGCATCTTATTACGCGTTATATATAAAACAGCACTGTGGAGGAAACTGCCATGCTTCACATGTGTGCTGGGAAAAGCCTTTCAATACCCCTCCTTTACTTTTGTCATAGCGGCGTTGTATAAAAACACCGCTGTGCAGGAGCGGGAGGAGGGAGGGGGGGGGGGCGATCCCGCTGGCAGCCGGGAAAGTCAGGAAATCACGCGCTGCGGCTAAAAACAGTCCAGGTCCGGCGAAACCGTTGATTTATAGCTCAAACGTTAAAAGCAACAAAGCCAGGAGACGCCCGACCGGTCAAGGACGCCCGTCTGCTTAAAACAATAGAGATTAGGTCCCGTGCTCGTGATGGGCCGCCTGCACGCAAGATCACTTTTACAACAGCGATGTTCCACTTGGGGTATTAAATCAGCAGTGGACATTTTGCAGAGCAACAGCTTAAGAGAGTGGGGGGGTGGAAGCAGCATCTGGGGTTTCATTTGTGTAATCCGTCGCTTGTTTGAATGTGCTTAGTCAGCTGTTAGTCGGTCACAGAGAGAGAGAGATCAGACGGCCCCCGCTCACCCCGAGCCATCGCGCCCCTTTGTTGGCCGCCTGCTGAATCTGAACCCGCTTCAGCGTCACATTGTAGATGGCTCCTTCCTCGACTTCCTCCCCCCAGTCCTGCACAGAGCTCTGCGAAAGGAGAAAGAGAGAGTTAGAAGCTTCCAGAAGAGGATACGAACTTCAGAGCGTCATTGGAAGAGTTTAACAAAATGGAAACCGACGTTTTTGGAGAAAAGAAGAAGGAACCATGAGAAGAAAAAAAAAGAAACCCGAGTTAAAGCCCTCAAACAAACTAGTAAAAGAAGCTCCAACGTGCAGTAAAAACAACAAGAACGGCCGACTCCCCAACCCCCCACCGGCGCTGCCTGCCAGGCCTTTTACTCCCTCTTTTATTCCCCATCCATCTCTTTCACCGTGCTCCTTCCCTCCGAGAGTGAAGTCAGAGCTGGATCGCTTCACTGGAGCTCAGAGAGAGAACAGGCCGGAACGGGCACAAACAAAAACCCCGACACGACAAAACAAGACACGTTGCTACGTCTCCGTCTGTAAGTAATTACAAGTCATTCTACAAGACAAGAGAGCTTGATTACCAGCGGGAGCACGACCACGCGTGAAACCGTCCCGCTCGGAGTACGCGGCGTGTAAATCACCGACAGACCTCTGCTCAGAGAGAGAGAGAGCCCGGGGAAATACGCTGAGACATCAACATGTCGTGGAGACGGGGACCAAAGCAGAAGCGGTGAGAGAGAGGGACAGGCCAAATGCAAACACCACGCATGCAGTGTTATGACAAAATCCTCCCCACACACACACACACACACACACACACACACACGGCAAAGTCCACTCTATTCCCCAAACACAGAGGCTGCCAGAAAAGAAGGTCAAAAAAGGTCAAAGCCGCCACGTTAACAGGCTGAATGGACGATCCTGCAGGCCGGTGGCACTCCGCCACGACTGGGCCGTGTTTGGGTTTGAACAGAAACATGTGATGCTGAAGTGAAAACAAAGAAATGAAAAAAAAGGGGATCTTTTTTTTAACTCAACAAAAGGGATCTTAACCGAACCCGGCAGATGAAACCAGGGAGTGAAACACGTCCGCGGGCCTGTCCTCATACCATGTTCAGTATTTTGTCTTCAGACCGGCAACTTACTGAGTGCGAGTGCACGTCTCCCTCCGTTCAGCTGCTGCTGGCGCAGAGACGGATAAATTCATCAGCGCATGAGTCATGCAGTCCACACAACTCCCAAAACAATAGCGAGAGCTCTCTGCGCTGGCCCGACCCGGGATGCTGAGTTCACAGTCTGCACACGCGCACACCGCCTGCTTTTTATCAAATACAGAGCTGGAGATGTTTTTGTGCTCTCTTTGTGCACCAAGTTTGGGGATTATTGGGAGATAAAGTTCCACGAGCTCACATGGGAACCAAAACAGCTTGTCACTGACATTTCTATTCACAACACACAGACCAGAGAAATGCACGGCAGATAAAGGATACGTGTACACAGAGCACAGTGTGTCCAATGGCCCTGGGTGAGGTGTAAACAGCAGATGGCTTGTTTAATGGGACCCTTCACCAAGAAGATGCACAGCGAGGACACTAAGAGCCCACGGTACCCTATGCTGCTCAAACACTGCTAATCTGCCCATCAGCTGTGTGTGAGACAATACTCCAAAGACAACAGCAGCTAAATGTTCGGGGCTGATCTGTTGGCTTTTGTGTGTTTTCCTCGCCTGGACGCAGCTGGGACCCGTGGAGAGACCGTGGTGGCCCCGGGGGCCTCGCCAATTGTTCCCTCTGTTTCGCTACGGCCCCCCAAGACAAACGTTTTCTTATCCACCATCAGGGAGGGGAGAGCTAATGGATCGAGTTCGTCGTTGGATCTTTTTTTTTTTTTTTTAATAATACCCTCCCCGCCCCTCTTTCTCACGTTTCCAAACTTTACGCGTCATCTTTACGCACCAACAATTAAGGTTCGACTGGGTTTAAAACAAGGTAAAAAACAACCACAACGAAATGTTCCCCCGCCCCCCTCCTCTTCTCCCCTTTATCCACTACTTTCTCAGGCCTACAGACACCCCCTCCCTTTTCTCCCCCATCTCCCTCCCTCCCTCCCTGTCCCCGTCTCTTCAAAAACCCACAAACAAACGCAGCGCAGGATGGATGAGCACGAGGGTGGATTTGTTTTTGTTTTTTTGGAGTTTGTTACCATTTTACTTTTCCAGGCGAATTTCATGGTGAGCGTTTCTTTCATGATCCGGGGACAGCATCAGAACTCGGGAATAATCCGCCCAGGGACGAAGAAGAAGAAGAAGAAGAAGAGCAAGAGGAAGAAAAGCTGCTCCGGTGTTTTAAAAAATCAAATCCCAGATGCCCGCTGCAAAAAAGAATCTTCTCCCTCCAACGTCCTGCGGCTCAACTCCGTACTCCAACTCTTCCTCCTGCCTGTCTGTCAGAAAGCTTTCGCCTCTTCTACTGAATCAGCGGACTCCGCCTCCTGACGCGCGCAGCGCTTCCCTTCAAACTCCGCCCCTTTGCTTTTTGTGCTGACTTCCATCGTCCTGCCCGCAGCGCGCGCGCGCGGCTGTGATTTCCGTTTGCGCAACGAATAAACCATTCACATGAAATTCATAACACGCATAGAATATTTGTATGATGTGTTTATGGTCGTTTAAAAAAAACAGAGTTCTTAGTGATCGGCTTTTTGTTGCCTTTGGGAAAGCTTGTTACAAGAAAACAAATGAAAAAAGAAATATTGGGTGTTTATTTCTTTACTATTATATAGTAAAGGAGGCTGGATTCAGGTTGGTAGACTATGCCACTGTAAGGTCAGTGTTTTTAGTGCAATATTCCTTTTTGGTTTAACCCAGGTAGTGTTTTCTTGAGTACAGGTTTCAGTCAACGCGTGGTGATCACTGTAAAAGGACGCTGAGAGACACCTACTTTATTTGACTTGAGTCCTCTTAACTAAGAAGCGATCTCTTTATGACCCGTGAACTTGGTCGACTCCGTCCAGTTAGCGCTCCTGTGAAAATGAAGTGTATTTTATATTCCACGCATTGGTTCCCGTCCAAACCTGGCGAGGACCATATTGAAGCGCAGAAATTGAGGTTTCCGGCGTCCGGCCCCGAACCAAGATGTGGAGCGCTCTGATAATGTGTAGTCTTTTCAATACAACTACACAAACTCTATTCATTTTAGGGAAATAAATAATTGACGAGAAATACCTCCATACAGCTATATATGGACACTGTGTATGTGTAAGGTTCAAGTTCAAAGTCCTTCACAAGAAATACCTTTTGCCCGGTTCACCTCTCCACTGTACGATCCTCCCGTAGGGCAGGGTCCTTATCTTACTGTTATTTGGCATTAGTTATATTCTTCAACAATATTGCCAACACATGTCCATCAACCGTCAGTACTCATCATACTCCTTGAATCCTGCCAGCTGACTTTAATGTGTAAAAACCGTTCCAACAAATCACACTCTGATCACGAGTGTTTATTTACCAGTAAACATAAGTTGTGTTTAACGCGCTGACACGAGTGCATGAAGCGCGTCGCTGTGTGTGAAGCAGCGGCCGTCTCACGGCCCCTTTTAGCGCGGGACAATACAAGGAAGGCCGCAGATGCCGTCACCAGCACTGTGCATTGTCAGTGACAGGAGGGGAGAAAAGGCCGAGTGTGAGAATGGACACACTGTTCCTCTGTGAACGGGGCCATGCACACGCACTCAGACTGCCCACTTGGTGTGAATAAACGGGAAGATGTGAATCAAGTCGTAGCGTAAACGCACATCAGACGTGGGCGAGCGGCGGTTCGTTCATTCGCCCGGCCGGTCTGAACCGCTGATCCGGTAGTGGGAAGGTCGTGATGCTCATTGTCGCGCGGCGCCGCGGCGCCTGAAGTGGCACCTACTTTAGCATCACGTGCCTGCTCACTCCTCTGGCTCCCATAAGACCGACGCCCGACGTCACACCCCAGCGTCACTGGCCGCCGAGAAGGGTGCACGCGTAGACGGATGCACCCTCCCACGCAGAGGCCCGACTTTTGGCATCGTGGACGGCAGGGCGCCGCCCTCCTCCGTGTGCGTTGATCACGTGATTTCCATCATGTCTCCTTCTCGCTGACTCTTTGTCCCGGCTGCGTACGTGGCCGGGCTCCAGTTCCCAGGCCGAGCTGCCCCGGTGTCCACTTGTGTCTCTGGGGCTCTGGGAAGCCCGCAGGGGCAGTGGGAAGGTTGTGCCCCCACGCGACCTCCAGCTCAGCCCCCCCCCGGGGGGGTCGGAGGGGGTTGGGGGACGGGGGGGTCGCTGTGACTGTCGGCCACAGTGGGAATGATGTCACATCTGAATGCGAACAACACATTTGACAAAAAAGACGCTGACAGCTGCTCCTCCGTCTGATTGACGCAGCAGATGGGTGGGCTCATCTCTTCAAGAAAATGGGAAAATGTCTTCACTTCTCTGGAGTTCAGATCCATTAATGTACTGTATGAGTTCTGATGCCTCAGAAGAACACTCACTTACTTTGTTAATCCTGCAGGTTTGGTACTGCCGTTGAGCTGCTGCAACAGGCTTTCACAAGTTAGGCCCCAGCAAGCTAACTTTCTGTAAATGTCAGAGCTATTTTTAGGCACTTCAGGCCAAATCAGGGAAAGCGTGTAACAAGTTAGAACCAACAATGTATTTATTTAATATGCCCATAGTTTGATGAAAGGGTTGCTTTCTGCTCTCGTGTTTGTCAGCTGAGCGTGAAGCTAGCGCCGGCTAGCATGTAGCCCCTCTTAGCATACAGCCCGGTGGAAGAGGAAACTGGCTCCAAATGCAACAAATCGTCCTACCAGACCACCTGAAGCTCACCAATTAACGTAGCATTAGAAAATTTGCATTATCAACACGAAAACTGAAGTGTAAAGACGTGTTCTTGAGTTGTGTTCTTTACAGCTCATGTGAAGACCAGTGACTTCCTCACGTTAAGTTTAAGATTCATTCGAAACCTCTCCTGTCGCCTGAATGTGATGGATGCTAATGGCATCTTTGTGTTGCAATATTTAAAAGGCCATCAAATATAACCTACGGTCTTCTCGCACTGTAAACTGGCTAGTCCTCATATCAAGCATTCCTT